TCCCAACCCATAGAATCATAGAATCATAGAGTTGGAAGAGACTTCGTCGGCCATACAGTCCAACCCCATTCTGCCAAGAAGCAGGAAAATCACATTCAAAGCACCCCCGACAGATGGCCATCCAGCCTCTGTTTCAAAGCCTTTAAAGAAGGAGCCTCCAAAACACTCTGAGGCAGAGAGTTCCACTGCTGAACAGCTCTCACAGTTAGGAAGAACATGTTTTCCATCCTCTGTAAGTTCCCAATAGTTTTATCTCCCATAGGACCCCAGTTTCTCCTTCTTTAACATTGAAATAAGCCCTTTATCTCATAAAGGGTCAAAGATGGAAGAAGCTATTTTGTCTGTGAGTTTTTCTTCCCAAACACCTGCAGGGAACATGTTTGGCTGTGCGCTTCTCTTCACCCGCAATGGCTTCTCCCACTATAAACACTTCGTTTCTTGGAAACGTCACTGCTGAAGTTTAGATAATAACTTGGCCGCTTTCCCCAGATATTGTTTATAGGTTACGGAAGCAGAGTTTCTGCTCAGTATAAACACCTCTGGCTCAGTCTGCAAAGAAAAGAAATCTTGCAAGCTCGAAATGCATTTGTTTTCAAACGAATCCTTGCATATCAGCGTTGAAAGCCAAAGGGCATTCGTTTTTCTGAAATGATGCGTCGCTATCTTCTCATTGCGAGAACTGGAGTTGGAAAGCCAAGCATATTAAAATAAAATAAGAAACCCTAAGACTTATGGGAAAGTACAGTCTTAGAAGAAATGGCCACAAGACTAATTTATTATTTTATATATCCATCGCAGTTTGATCCCATTTAACCTGCTGTGACTCCTTCCTATGCAAACTTGGGATTTGTAGTTTGGGATTTGTAGTTCTGCTCGAACTGTTATGAAACACAGCACTGCAGTTGATTGAAAAAATAGGATATGGAATCCATTCCAGGTTTTGGATAACTTTAGAGGGCCGCTGAACTTATTTGAGAGTAGGGCTTAATAAGTAAGGGTGGATCTATATTGCCATATAATGCAGTTGCATTGGACTGCATTGTATGGGTCTGCGCTGACCATATACAATTGCATTGGACTGCATTGTATGGGTCTACACTGACCATATACAGTTGCATTGTATGGGTCTGCACTGACCATATACAGTTGCATTGGACTGCATTGTATGGGTTTACACTGACCGTATACAGTTGCATTGGACTGCATTGTATGGGTCTACACTGACCATATACAGTTGCATTGGACTGCATTGTATGGGTCTGCACTGACCATATACAGTTGCATTGGACTGCATTGTATGGGTCTACACTGACCATATACAGTTGCATTGTATGGGTCTGCACTGACCATATACAGTTGCATTGGACTGCATTGTATGGGTTTACACTGACCGTATACAGTTGCATTGGACTGCATTGTATGGGTCTACACTGACCATATACAGTTGCATTGGACTGCATTGTATGGGTCTACACTGACCATATACAGTTGCATTGGACTGCATTGTATGGGTTTACACTGACCGTATACAGTTGCATTGGACTGCGTTGTATGGGTCTACACTGACCATATACAGTTGCATTGGACTGCATTGTATGGGTCTACACTGACCATATACAGTTGCATTGGACTGCATTGTATGGGTCTACGCTGACCATATACAGTTGCATTGGACTGCATTGTATGGGTCTACGCTGACCATATACAGTTGCATTGGACTGCATTGTATGGGTCTACACTGACCATATACAGTTGCATTGGACTGCATTGTATGGGTTTACACTGACCGTATACAGTTGCATTGGACTGCGTTGTATGGGTCTACACTGACCATATACAGTTGCATTGGACTGCATTGTATGGGTCTACGCTGACCATATACAGTTGCATTGGACTGCGTTGTATGGGTCTACGCTGACCATATAATGCAGTTCAAACTAAGACCCTGTCTACACTGCCATATAATCCAGTTTCTGAATGCATTATCTGCTTTGAACTGGATTATATGGCAGTGCAGATCTAATCTAAGAGAGCATCTTTGGTTTGATCTGCACTGCCATATAATGCCATTTGGAACTGCAATATATGGTTAGTGTAGACCCATACAATGCAGTTCAACGCAGCATTAATTTTTCAGTATATACATAGACCCAATTTGATGGGGAAATTGGATATTATTATTATTATTATTATTATTATTATTATTATTTGAAACACAACAAGATGAGTCCACAGCAGACACTCTGCTGGCTGTTGTATTGGATCACACATCGGACACTTCCCAAGTGTCTAGGACTGTGTGATGTATCGGCAAATAATGCATGTAGATCCCAGTAAGGTGGCCTTCTGCAGCTGGCAGATGGTAATCTTGTCAGCGCCGATTGTGTTTAAGTGCAGGCCAAGGCCTTTAGGCACTGCACCCAGTGTGCCGATTATTATTATTATTATTATTATTATTATTATTATTATTATTATCTTGGGTAACTGGCATTGCCTAGGTTATTAGAAGAAGTATTTTTTATTTTACAAAATGCATAAAGTTGTAGGTGAACTACAACTCACATCATGCCAAGTTAACTCCCTGAAATTCCATCAATATTTACAGTTTGTCATGTTGGGCAAGTTTGCTCTAGATGCATCATTGGTGGGATTTAGTGTGCTTTCTGGCCACAGGATGAATTACAACTCTCACCATGGTGGGTCAGTCCCGTCACATCCCTCCAGTACATTCAGTTGGTCATGGGTGTTCTGTGTGCCAGCTCTGCTATATGCCTGCGAGACGTGGACTGTCTACAGATGTCACATGCAACTCCTGGAATGATTCCATCAGTGCTGCCTCGGGAAAATCCTGCAAATCTCTTGGGAAGACAAGTTGACAAATGTCAGCGTGCTGGAAGAAGCAAAGACCACCAGCATCAACTCCGCTGGACTGGCCACGTTGTCCAGATGCCCGAGCACCATCTCCCAAAGCAGTTGCTCTATTCCGAACTCAAGAATGGAAAATTGAATGTTGGAGGACAGGAAAAAAGATTTAAAGATGGGCTCAAAGCCAACCTCAAAAACACTGGCATAGACACTGAGAACTGGGAAGCCCTGGCCCTTGAGTGCTCCAGCTGGAGGTCAGCTGTGACCAGCAGCGCTGTAGAATTTGAAGAGGCACGAATGGAGGGCAAAAGAGAGCAACGTGCCAAGAGGAAGGCGCATCACGCCAACCCTGACCAAGACCACTTTCCACCTGGAAACCAATGCCCTCACTGCGGTAGAAGATGCAAATCAAGAAAAGGGTTCCACAGTCACCTAAGGACCCACCGCCAAGACTGCTCTTGGAGGACCATCATCCTTGGATAATGAGGGATCACTTAAGTAAGTAAGTTAGTGCTAGAAGATCTTGGGATTTGCAGTCGGATGAGGAACAAGCCTCCTTTGGCGGAGAAGGTTAAACTACAATTCCCCAAATCCCATAGTTAGGACTACTATGCTGTTTCAACAGTGATGTTGCTCTATCATTGTTCTCCATAGAAACAGAAAGTGTTTGGGTTCGCCCCCTCGGTATGCACACTTTTTGTGGCCTTTGGTCAGTTTATCCTTGGCTTGGGGGCGTGTTGGTTCCTTCAGATAAGCTAAGAGAATGATTTGGGAATTTGAAGTTAATTAATGCACGTCATCCCATTAATCAGCACTAATATCAAATGCCAAAAGCACTGGGCGCTTCCCAAAACTATGCAGAAAATGTGCAAAGCTTGCCAAAGGTCTCTCGCAAACATCCGTAAGTCGATATGGAAATGCAGTTCATTTGGACGGTGTCTTGCCCCCTCCAGAAAGTAATTCAAGTTAGCTGACCTTTTTTGAAAAAAGAAAACCTGGTGAACATAAAGGCACACAAACTTGTTTCAATCCAGTTTGGCCAGGAAAGTTGGGTTTTCTTCCAAAGCTGACCTCATCTTTCATCCTTGTCCCTTCCAATACACCTACACTAGGATTAATGCAGTTTGACCCCTCTTTTACATCCATGGCTCAATACACTGGAATTATGGAAGTTCTAGTTTTTCAAGGTCTTTAGCCTTCTTTGCTAAAGAGGACTATTTCCTCAACAAACTACAAATCCCAGGATCCCATATCATTGGGGTTGCGGTGGTACAACAGGTTAAACCGTTGAGCTGATGAACTTGCTGACCCAAAGGCTGGCAGTTTGAATCCGCAGGATAGGGTGAGCTTCTGCTGTTAGCCCCAGCTCTTGCCAACCTAACAGTTTGAAACATGCAAATGTGAGTAGATCAATAGGTACCGCCTTGGCGAGAAGGTAAAGCAATGCTGCATGCAGTCATGCCAGATATGCTGGAATCCTCTCTGAGTTCCCTCATGGAGATAGGGAGGAACACAAATTAATAATAATAATAATAATAATAATAATAATAATAATAATTTGTGCATTTGTGTTTCATTGTGTTTCAAGGCACTGAATGTTTACCTGTGTCTGTATATATGCTGGAATCCGCTCTGAGTTCCCTCGCAGAGATAGGAAGGAATACAAATTATTATTATTATTATTATTATTATTATTATTATTATTATCACTACCTCTGAGGATGCTTGCCATAGATGCAGGCGAAACATCAAGAGAAATGCCTCTAGAACATGGCCATATAGCCCGAAAAAACCTACAACGACCCAGAGATTCCGGCCATGAAAGCCTTCGCCATTATTATTATTATTATTATTATTATTATTATTAGTGGGTTTGTGTTTCATTGTGTTTCAAGGCATTGAATGTTTACCTGTGTCTGTATATATGCTGGAATCCACCTTGAGTACCCTCGAGGAGATAGGGCAGAATACAAATAAAGTGTTGCTGTTGTTGTTGTTGTTGAGTCATGGCAGTTAAAGAGGTGTCAATGTAGAGATGCACCTTACATCTCAAAAGGGAGCAGGGATCTAAGGAGGAGCATGGTCATATAGCACTTTGCAGCCTTGAGTAAACTTTGGCCTTTGTTTTGATGCAGATTCGGGTGACAGCTTGTCACACACCACTTCCTCGCCACAACCCTCGCCGGCCACTTCGGCCCACGCCTTGAGGAACGCAGAGACCTCTTCTTCAGCTGACCAGCCGATCAGCGATGCTTCTGCCGCCGAGGAGACGGCCAGCGAGTCGGAGTCCGTCTTCCTCCCGGACTATCTCTTCTTATCCAACTGTGAGACTGGGAAACTCAGCCATGTCAGGTATCTTCACATTGCCAAATGGACTTTTTCAGGTTTGATTATTCACCAGTTGGATTTCTAGGAATCTTGAGATAGTCTTGTACGAGTATCATCAGCTTCCAATGGGAGCTGACCACAGAGTCGAGCTGAAGGACCTAGATCAGGTTAGGAATTGTGGGAGTTGCAGTCCAAAACACCTGGAGGGCCCAATTTTGCCCATACCTTATCTACACCTTAGAATGAACATATTGTGAATATAATTGTAATGGCAGCAGGAGTCTTCCTTAATGGAATGTTGAATATGTTTTGGTCTACAGTTAGAATCTTAAAGGAGCTATCCAAAATGCTGAACCTTATCTGCTGAGACTCAGCACTTTGGATAGCCTTTTAAAGGTGTTATCTACAGTCTGATTCTCTATATCCGTAGGTCCTGCACCTGCAGATTCCACCATCCATGGCTTAATAAATACCCCACCCAAAATTCCCAAAAATAAACGTTGATTTTACCATTGTATGTATTTTATTATGTCATTGTATATAATGGAACTTTGGTATCCACAACGGGTCCTGGATTTCAACAGATACTGAGGAACTGCTGTATAATCCAGGCCAGATTTCCACAATCCACTGATGGAAGGTTCACCAGTGGCTTCTGGAATGTATTGAAAAATGGGATTCCCCTCAAGGAACCCTTTTCTTTGTCCTGCAATTTGGGGATCTGATGAGGCCAAAATAGTGAAGATCTTAAGGTCCTAGATGGTCCATAAGGGGAGATGCATTCGGACATGTAAGTTGGGCCATAGAAAAGCTTCAACAATAACATGTGAACTTAAAAAAAAAAAAGAAATGGCTCGGGATGTTATGCTCTTGTTCAATGAGTGAGCCCTCCTCTTACTTGGCCACAGTAGTCAACGCTCTGGTTACATCCTGTATAGACTACTGCAATGTACTCTATGTGGGGTTGCCTTTGAAGACTGTCCGGAAGCTTCAAATGGTCCAACGAATGGTAGCCAGATTGCTAACAGGAGCGGCACTAAGAGAGCATACAACTCCTCTGTTGTGCCAGCTACATTGGCTGCCAGTTTGCTACTGGGCACAATTCAAAGTGCTGGCTTTAGTTTATAAAGGCCTAAACGGTTCTGGCCCAACTTACATGTCCAAACGCATCTCCCCTTATGGACCATCTAGGACCTTAAGATCGTCTGGGGAGACCCTTTCCTAATTACCACATTTGTCACAAGTATGTTTGGCGGAGCCGAGAGACAGGGCCTTCTCAATGGTGGCCTCTTAGCTGTGGAACAGCCTCCCTATAGATATTAGATTGGCCACCTCCCTTTTAACATTCCGGAAAAAAGTCAAGATGTGGCTTTTTGAACAAGTGTTTGCAAATGCAGAATAACTGACACAGGAAAATGGAAAGACTACTAGACTATGAATTTATATTTCATTTATTTCTATAGTTTTTATTATATGTTAGGTTTTTAATTGTATTTACGACATTGTAAGCATTGAATTTTGCCCTGTTAACCTCCTTGAGTCGCCTGCGGGCTGAGAGAGGCGGTATACAAATACAGCAAATATATAAATAAATAATAGCTTTATTTTTATACCTTGCCTCCATCTCCCCGAAGGGACTTGGGGCGGCTTACAAAGGAACATGTCCAACAAAACAGGTTAAAATAAGCATCAAAAACAAGCAATATGATACATCAATAAACATAAAATCAGACAACATTATAAAAATGATTGAAAGCTAACATGGCTGAGCAAATAAAGTGCTGGGTTCAGTTCATAATTACTAAGTGCAATGAATCCTAAGAAGAGCCAGGCTAGGAAGGAAATATGCTTAGGCTATTAAAGTGTTAGAAGTGCCAGAAAGGGACTATGTTAAGATAGGCTGGGAAATTCTGTGGTGAACTGCCTAATCAAAGGCACAATAGAAGAGTGAAGTTTTTAATTCCTTGTGGAAAATAGAGAGAATGGGACCTGCCTGATCTCCCTAGGGAGGGAGTTTCAGAGCCGATGGGCCACCACAGAGAAGGCCCTTTCCCTCATCCCCACCAACCAAGCTTGTGAGGGTGGTGGAAGCAAGAGAAGAGCCTCCCTGGATGATCTTAAAGTACATGCTGGTTCATAGGGGAAGATGTGGTTACGAAGATAATCAGATCTCAAACTGTTTAGGGCAGTGTTTCTCAACTTGGGGGTCGTGAGGGGGTGTCAGAGAGGTCACTAAAGACCATCAGAAAGTACAGTATTTTCTGTTGCTCATGCAAGTTCTGTCTGGGAAGTTTGGCCCAATTCTATCCTTGGTGGGGTTCAGAATGCTCAAGGTCTATTTTCCCCAAACTCCGTCAGTATTCACATTTGGGCATATTGAGTATTTGTGCCAAGTTTGGTTTAGAGAAAATAGACCTTAACATTTGGGAGTTGTAGTTGCTGGGATTTATAGTTCACCTACAGTCAAAGAGCATTCTGAACTCCATCAATGATGAAATTGAACCAAACTTGGCACAGAGAACTCCCATGACCAATAGAAAATACTGGAAGGGTTTGATGGGCATTGCCCCTGAGTTTTGGAGTTGTAGTTTACCCACATCCAGAGAGCACTGTAGACTCGAACAATGATGGATCTGGACCAAACTTGGCATGAATACTCAATATGCCCAAATGTGAACACTGGTGGAGTTTGGGGAAAATAGACCTTGACATTTGGGAGTTGTAGTTGCTGGGATGTATAGTTCGCCTACAATCAAAGAGCATTCTGAACCCCACCAGTGGAAGAATTGGACTAAAATTTCTCCACAGAACCCCCATGACCAACATAAAATACTTTGCTTCCTGATGGTCTTTGGTGACCCCTCTGACACATCCTCATGACCCCCCCAGGGGTCCTAACCCCCAGGTTGAGAAACACTGAACTACAGTTAGGTAGTCTGAACAATCAGAGCTTGGGAATGTTACTTCTTTGGACTGCTGCTAGACATATTCCCCAGCGAGCATGCCCAGAGTTGTATGCAAATAACCAACTTTAGTCCTAGTAAAAACTCCATTGTAATTCATGCAATAACTTCACAGTGGGCTTTGAATTAATGGATTTTTCACACTAGTGGAGTCATTGTATATGCATTTGTTATACCTTTCCTGCCACCTTGTGTCCATAATGATGAATTGTATGGTTTGATTTATCAATTTTCAAATGTTATTAAAAAAACAAATAACCAGGAGCTCCCCGCCTCCTAAGAAAACATCTCTGGTTCTCTTTGTCTTCCTTCCAGATGCCACAGCTGGTCCAATTCCGACCGGTCTCTTGAGCAGAACTCATCCGATGATGTCTTTGTCGATTTTGTGGCTTCCCAGCCCTCCCTCTTCCCACAGACCTCCGGTGGCCCATTGCAGGAGATCCTCTCGCCTACGTGCCAAGGGCTCCTTCCTAGGAACCCAGACTCAAGTGGGCCTCCTTCTAGCGATTTCTCCTCGTCCTCTCCATTATCAGGACCTCCCTTGACGCCAACCTTTCTAGTCGATAAAAGCCAGAACGCTCTTTCTCTGGGTGTCGTTGAACTGGACGCTTTGGCCAATACGCCGCCGCCTCGGCCTCCGAAGCCAACGCACCTCTCTGACCGAAGGGCCGAGGAGCAGCCCTTTGGCGGGTTTCAAAATGGACATTCCGGGTTCTCTAGCAGTCAAAGGGTTGCGGTGCCGAGACGGATCTCCATGTCTGGCTTGGACTCCATGAAGAATTGGAGAGGTAAGATTATTAATAGGAAATGCATCCAGCCTTGTGCTCTTCGTAGAGCCAGAATCTTGTAGTTGGAAGGGACCCGAAAGGCTATCTAGTTTAACTTCCTGCTGTGTTGGAATACACAACTATGTCACTCCTCAAAGATGTTCATCCGACTTTTCTTTAAGGATCTCCAAAGAAGGACAGTCCACCTCCTTCCGAGCAAACGAATCCACTGTTGAGTGTATCTTACAGTTGAAAGGTTCTTCCTAATGTTTGGGGGGAATCTCTAGGGGTTTTTCTTAATCCACTGCTTTGGGTCAGAAAGAAACATGCTTGCATGTTTCTTGGATTAACAGAACTCAAAAACCACTGGACAAATTGACACCAAATTTGGACACAAGACACCTAACAACCCAATGTATGTCCTTCACTCAAAAAATTGATTTTGTCATTTGGGAGTTGTAGTTGCTGGGATTTATAGTTCACCTACAATCAAAGAGCATTCTGAACTCCACCAACGATGGAATTGAACCAAACTTGGCACACAGAACTCCCATGACCAACAGAAAATACTGGAAGTGTTTGGTGGGCAGTGTCCTTTGGTTTTGGAGTTGTAGTGCACCTACATCCAGAGATCACTGTGGACTCAAACAATGATGGATCTGGACCAAACTCTACACGAATACTCAATATGCCCAAATGTGAACACTGGTGGAGTTTGGGGAAAATAGAATCTTGACATTTGGGAGTTGTAGTTGCTGGGATTTATAGTTCACCTACAATCACAGAGCATTCTGAATCCCACCAACGATAGAATTGGGCCAAACCTCCCACACAGAACCCCCATGTGGGCCACAGCAATGCGTGGCAGGGGACGGCTAGTCTATATAAGTAAAAATGTAATGTTCCTTTGTGGGATTAACATAACTCAGAAACCATTGAATGAATTGACACCAAATTTGGACACAATACCCTTATCAGGCCAACGAGTGTCCATCACTCATAAAACATTGAAAAACACAACAGAAGGGACTTAAAAGCCAAAAAAAAACCATTACGACACAGGCGCAAAACCACATATATACACAAACACACATACACAAATATATACACACACATATATACACACACAAAACACATATGCACAGAAAGAGGGAAAGAAGGAAGTAAGGAAGGAGAGAAGGAGGGATAGAAAGAGGGAAAGAAGGAGGGAAGGAGAGAAGGAAGGAAAGAGAGAGGGAAGGAAGGAGAGAAGGAACAAAAGAAAGGAAGGGAAGGAAGGAAAGAGAGAAGGAAGGATGGAATCAAAGAGCAAAGGAAGGGAGGAAAGAAACAGGTAGAGAAGGAAGAAAGAAAGGGAAAGAAGAAGGAAAAGAAAAAGAGGGAAGGAAGGAGAGAAAGAAAGGAAAGTAGCAGGGAGGGAAGGTTTGGCCACAGTCACTCAAAAAACACTGAAAAACATAGCGGAAGAGACTTAAAAAGCCAAAAAAAAAAATACATTCTGCCTAGAATTACACTGGATTTTTCAAAATATTTGGAATTACTTACTTAGGCAATCCCTCGTAGCCCAAGGATGATAATCCTCCAAGTTTAGTGTCTTGACAGTGAGTTCGTAGGTGGCAGTAGAGTCCTATTCTTGATCCACATGTTCTCCCACAGTGTGGACATCCGTTTCCAGCGGAAGGTGGTCCCGGTCAGTGTTGGCTTGATGCACCTTCCTCTTGGCACGTTTCTCCCTTTCGCCCTCCATTTGTGCGTCTTCGAATTCTGCAGCACTGCTGGACACAGCTGACTTCCAGTTAGAGCGCTCAAGAGCCTGGGATTCCCAGTTCTCATTGTCTATGCCACATATTTAGAATACTCTGGGCCAGAAATATTATCCCTGCCATTTCGTTGACCAGTTTCTTGAACTGTTATGAATTAACTTGACTCTCCATACTCTGATTTTTGCAGTTGACATGGATGAAAGTTCCTTAAGAAGCAGGGATAAGAGGCTTAGCTTGAATTTGGTAAGTGCCTTTTTGTCCTGTTCCCATTTACATATTCTTTTACTTATTCACACGCTGTATTTTGTAAAGCTTTCACGGGAGAATAATAAAAGAAATTAATAAGCATCCATCAGCAGGTCCATAAATAATATGAAATGAACTGTTTCCCGGCAACAGCAATAACCGTTATTATGTTTTCAATCTTTTTTTTGCCAAAGCATGGAAACAAGTGGAGCTGGAGTTGGTTGATAGTGGTGTGTAGGTGGTTTTTCACCATCCCTAACAAGCTGAAATAAATTCAACAGAAGGATCGTTGCACTTAGAGGCAAAGCCAGGATGCTTTCACTTTGGATAACACTTCAGCCAATAGGGGGCAGGCTTTCCTAACCACTGCATAGGTTTTGTAGTCAATGCCATTTGGAGCCATGACTGAGTGGTACACAGTAGGCTTGGTTGATCGTGTTCGTTAGTTTCTAAACTATGAATTCGTATTTAAATTAGCTTTCGATCCAATATCGAGCCATGCAGGAAGAGTGTGAGGAGTAATTAAGAATCGAAACAATTTTTCCAATTTTCGTAATTATTTTCGTATGTATTATTATATTATATTATAATTGTATATTATTATATTATAATTATATTATATTATATGTTATAATTGTATGTTATTATATTATATTAATATAATTGTATATTAAAGCACCCCTGACAGATGGCCATCTATTCTTAATAATAATAATATAATATAATATATAGTAATAATAGTTTTAAGCTGCTGGGCCAGGAAGACGTTTAGCTGGGTTAAGACAAGCCGTTTTAAAGCGTTTTAAAGACTGGATTCCTGTAAGTGCTGACTCCATTCTGACTTCGGATTGTTTTTGGATGGACATCTCATTCTGACTTAATCTTCTGCTTTTGGACGTGCTATGGGCTTGGGACAGTTTTTTGATAATATAATATAATATATATAGTTGTTGTTAGTTTTATCACACCAACAGTCAACCACAGAGGGAGAGGGAAGCTTCGGAAGTTCCCCCTGTCCCGTTTGGAGGTTTTTTTCGCGTATTGCGCAATCATGTCCGCCATTAACGAATCAATTCATATATTTACGAAATTTCATAAATATCGAAATTTTGAAATTTGAAATTTCGGAAATCCTCTCAGATTAGAAACGCGGGCGACCCCTAGATATGAAACTAGTTTAGAACCAAATTTTTTCTTGATCAACCAAGCCTAGTACACAGTTGTGGGACTGCTCACAATCCTTTCTTTTATGTCTAGTTCTAACAGATACATAACTTTTCTTGAAGACCACAATTGTGTGGGTGCGTCTAAACTGATGGTCCCTGCCATCAAATGCTTTAAGAGGCACTGGGCTACTGTTTATCAAGCTGTGAAATATTCGACCCCATACAAAACTATGTATCAAAACATGATTAGCATCGAACAAGAAAGCCAGTCATCTACTGTATTGTGCCCAAGGTTGATCTCTCTAAGAAAAGAGAGATCTTTTAGTTCAGTTCAGTACAAGAGATACTCTTGCAGGCCATATTCCAGTAGTGAGCCAAGACAACAAAAAGGTTGGAGCAAATATACCAACATGTTTCCTGCCAGTGATGAGGTTCAAGATTTTCAATTTAAAAGGGGAATTATGCAAAAGCTAGGAGACCACAAAAGGGTGGTATTGGGAGGAAGGAGTCAGATTCAGACCCCAACAACGTCAAAGCCAAATTTGGTCCCTGGTCTTGTTGTTCCCCATTCCTTGCACTAGAACAGTGGTTTTCAACCTTTTTTTGACAAGGGAGCATTTGAACAGAGGCCACTTTGACCAAGGATCGCTTGACCACTTTGGCCAAGGATCACTTGACCAGGGACCACTTGAACAGCGACCACTTTGACCAAGGATCGCTTGACCAGGGACCATTTGAACAGAGACCACTTTGACCAAGGATCACTTGACCATGGACCACTTGAACAGAGACCACTTTGACCAAGGATCACTTGACCATGGACCACTTGAACAGAGACCACTTTGACCAAGGATCACTTGATCAGGGATCACTTGACCATGGACCACTTGAACAGAGACCACTTTGACCAAGGATCACTTGACCAGGGATCACTTTTACCAGGGATCGCTTGACCATGGACCACTTGAACAGAGACCACTTTGACCAAGGATTGCTTGACCAGGGACCACTTGAACAGAGACCACTTTGACCAGGGATCACCGTTAGAACAGGGACCAATTTGACCAGGGATGGCTTGACCAGGGACCACTTGAACAGAGACCACTTTGACCAAGGATGGCTTGACCAGGGACCACTTGAACAGAGACCACTTTGACCAAGGATGGCTTGACTAGGGACCACTTGAACAGAGACCACTTTGACCAGGGATGACTTGACCAGGGACCACTTGAACAGAGACCACTTTGACCAAGGATGGCTTGACCAGGGACCATTTGAACAGGGACCACTTTGACCAAGGATGGCTTGACCAGGGACCATTTGAACAGGGACCACTTTGACCAGTGATGTCTTGACCAGGGACCACTTGAACAGGGACCACTTTGACCAGGGATGGCTTGACCAGGGACCACTTGAACAAGGACCACTTTGACCAGGGATGGCTTGACCAGGGACCACTTGAACAGGGACCACTTTTACAATTTGGCTTTTGATCAACTTTAGATTCTGTTTGGTTATTTGGGGTGCTGATTCAGAAAATTGCATTCGACAGACCACATCAGCTCTAGTTTCTGATAGAGAACATATGCCATCCAATAGTCACCATCTGCTCGCCCACAGAAATCCATATTCAATAATCTAGAGCTGATGTGGTAGTAGTAATCTTTCGTGGGTAGTCAGCCTCTCCCCTCCCATTGCCTCGGCACTATAAGATGGTTTCACGAGACCAGTTGCTCTCCTTGCTATGTGTTTCAAGGCAACAGTGTAGTAAGGGTGAGGCCGCAGACCATATTTTTGTTCTCGTGGACCACTGGTGATCCACTGCACTCAGAAGTTTATACAGGTTGAGTAGTCCTTATCCCAAACGTTTGAGACCAGAAATGTTCGGTGTTACTGAATTTCTTCAGTTCTAAGACACACTTTTCCCCTCTATATAAACATCTCTAAAATGGGGTGTGTCTTAGAATCAAGGGTGTATTTTTAGAATTTTAATGTTTTTTATGATATTTAAATTTAATGTATTTTTTTAATTTAAGTGTTTTTTTATAAAGACATGTGCATCCTGCCTTTGAGCACCTCCTCCATAAGGGCCCTCAGGGTGGTTTAGAACAATAACACAAAATGCAAGAAAGAGAAATGAGACTGTAGAAACAAACAAAAGTTAGCACAGTTAACAGATAAATTAAACCCACTGAGAATCTGGCAAAATGTATATTGTCTTAACTGCCCACATAAGAAAAGAAACCAGTTAAGATATATTAACTATGATGAGCATTACAATTATTGAAAGCAGAGATGGTTACATTGCAAAATCCGAGGCATAGTTATGCTGTTATGGATCTAAATTAGAATCCTTGCATAATTTCCATTTAAAGAAGGGCAAACATCTACTTTGAGAAGATGAAGTGAATTACAAATTTGAGAGTAAAAGATATAAAAAGTATATTCAAAATGTTAGTTTTCATGCAGGTGGATTCCTGCTTCAACCTTTATATCTCAGCAGAGAATTTACCTGTGTGCTTTTATAACAATAACAACAACAAAAATAACTATTATTATTATTATTATCATTATCATTATTACTATCACTATATCCACCTAAAAGTCCAAATCAAGTTCACATCAACCACTTATTATTATTATTATTATTATTATTATTATTATTATTATTAGGAGCTGCAGTGGCGCAATGGATTAAACCTTTGTGCCGACAGGTCTGTTGACCTGAAGGTCGTCGGTTTGAATCTGGAGAGTGGGGTGAGCTCCTGTCTGTCAGCTCCAGCTTCCCATGCGGGAACATGAAACCTCTCACAGGATGGTAAAACATCCAGGCTTCCCCTGGGCATCCCCTTGCAGATGGCCAATTCTCTCATACCAGAAGTGATGTGCTTTTTCTCGAGTCACTTTTAACACGAAATAATAATAATAATAATAATAATAATAATAATAATAATAATAATTAATGTTGTTAATGGTGGTACTAAATTAGGGTGTGTCTTACAAAGAAATAGATATGACCTTTTTTGGATTTTGGAATACTTTATGTACGTCATGAAATACCTTAGAGAATGGATCCAAATCTTAACATTAAATTCATTTATGTTTCATATAGCACGAATGCAGTATTATACATTGTATTTGTAATAATGTTGTGCACAACACAAAATGTGTGTACATTGAACCATCCGAAAGCACAGGTGTCATTGTCATAGCCACCCATCTTGGGTCTGGATTTGGAGCATTTGGAGCACCAGATTCCATATAGGGGTTATTCAACCTGTACAGGATTTTAAGCCAATTGGGAGATGAGTCTTTTGAGAGTCCAGGATAAAGCAAGGACAGGTGGGCAGGATTTGATGCTTGCAGCCCAGAATCTTTGCTTAACTTAGGATGTAGATCTGTTTTCCCTTAGGATGCTGACTGTTTTCCCTTTCCTTTGCCAGCCATGTCGGTTTAGCCCACTCTATTCCAGCACTTCAAACAGTTCCGAGGACAGTTACGTGCCCATGCACCCCAGTGCCTCCCCTCCCCTCCCCAGTTCTGACTGCACACCGGACGGCTACATTCCCATGAATCCAGGCTCAACAGCGTTTGCCGTCTCCACTGTAAACACTGAAAAGCTCCCCAGCCCTCTGCCCGAACTTCCCACTGATCTGGAACCGCCTCCGGTGAACCGGGATCTCAAACCTCGCCGGAAATGTAAGTATGCATTCTACAAGTTATTGTTGAGTGGAGATCTGGAGATGATGATAATGATAACAACAACAACAACACTTGATTTATAAAAGGTCTGGAGAACAAGCCCTATGAGGAGCGGCTTAAGGAGCTGGGCATGTTTAGCCTGAAGAAGAGAAGGCTGAGAGGGGATATGATAGCCATGTATAAATATGTGAGAGGAAGCCACAGGGAGGAGGGAGCAAGCTTGTTTTCTGCTTCCCTGGAGACTAGGAAGCGGAACAATGGCTTCAAACTACAAGAGAGGAGATTCCATCTGAACATGAGGAAGAACTTCCTGACTGTGAGAGCCGTTCAGCAGTGGAACTCTCTGCCCCGGAGTGTGGTGGAGGCTCCTTCTTTGGAAGCTTTTAAACAGAGGCTGGATGGCCATCTGTCAGGGGTGATTTGAATGCAATATTCCGGCTTCTTGGCAGAATGGGGTTGGACTGGATGGCCCATGAGGTCTCTTCCAACTCTTTGATTCTATGATTCATATATTGATGAAGTTATACTGCTTTGAGACATCTAAATACGTGACAAATGGAAGACAGAATCCAAACATTCAATGCCTTGCTACAATACAATGAGACACACAAACACAAACAATGGCAAAGGCTTCTCCTTTCATTTCCGGCTTTGGAGGCAGTGCTCATCTCTGGCTCTGGGGAAAGTGCTGTTTTTCATTTCCAACCTGAGGAGTCTGCGTTGTCACTTCCTGGTTGTGTGACTGGCATGACTGCTTGGAGCATCTCATGCCTTTCCCGCCGAAGCTGTACCTGTTCCGTCTTCCAGGAGCATAGTTTGCATTACCTTTTAGTTACATGGGATAGTGTTCCTTTGCATTTCCCCAGGGTTGCTACAATCTCAGCTGCACTCTGAAAGTTAACAGCATTAGAGGCTGGAAAGCCAGCCTGCAGGCCCCTTTTGCAGCTATTGGTTCAGAAAGTATCTCTTTGGGTTTAGAGACCACCCTTTTTCCTGGGTTGAGATCTCCATTTTGGAATTTCCCCTGCCTCCTTCAGTAGAGAAAGAAAGCTTCAGATGTACTGTTGGTCAGGCAGGTAACTCTGGAAAAAACCATTATAAGAACGATTGAGAACTAGGTAGGAAGATTGAAGTACTATAGATTGAGTTATTTAGATAGAGAAGCTTGTTGTTGTTCATTCGTTCAGTCGTCTCCGACTCTTCGTGACCTCATGGACCAGCCCACGCCAGAGCTCCCTGTCGGCCGTCACCACCCCCAGCTCCTTCAAGGTCAGTACAGTCACTTCAAGGATGCCATCCATCCATCTTGCCCTTGGTCGGCCCCTCTTTCCTTTTGCCTTCCACTTTCCCCAGCATAATTGTCTTCTCTAGGCTTTGCTGTCTCCTCATGATGTGGCCAAAGTACTTCAACTTTGTCTCTAGTATCCTTCCCTCCAATGAGCAGTCGGGCTTTATTTCTTGGAGGATGGACTGGTTGGATCTTCTCGCAGTCCAAGGCACTCTCAGAACTTTCCTCCAACACCACAGCTCAAAAGCGAGTGCTATAGAGATAGATAGCATAGGTATTGAGTTATATAGATAAAGAAGGTAATTGAGATCGATAGATAGATAGAATAGCAATTGAGTAATTGAGCAATTGAGTTATAGATAGATATTGAGTTATTGAGCATTATTGAGCATTACTTCATCTCCAAAACTAACCTTGAGCTATAGATAGGGGAAAAACCTGCTTTTTTCTAACCATAGCAGCTCAGGGTTAGGGTGAAAAGATCCCAGGATTTTCTTCTGCCTTTTGGGAAAAAGTTACCTCAGTAACTGAAGGAAAGGAAAGGAAAGATCATCTCTATTGTTTCATCAATTGACTGTTTTGTTTGTAACTTTAACAAGCTGTGCCAAGTCTGCAAGGACTTTGAAAAAATAAATATTCTGTTTTGATGTTCAAAGCCTGTAGTAGCCTCAGTTGCTGAGAATCTCAAGCTTCTAAAAAAAGACCCCCGTGGTCCACCCAGACAAAAGCACATCTTAGTTTTATTTTTATAGGGTCTGGGTGTGACGGCACAGTACCTATTTATCTACTCACATTTTTGAACTGCTACATTGGCAGGAGCTAGGGTTAACAACGGGAGTGCACCCCGTCCCGCGGATTCAAACTGCCAACCGGTTTGGCAGTTCAGTAGCACAAGAGTTTAACCTATTGTGCCACCACGGCCCCCAGATGTGGAGACTATTTCCTTATACCATGGGCCCTTCATATCCACAGATTCTGTATCCACAGATTCCACCCTCTGCAGCTTGAAAATAGTCAAAAGAAATTCCCATGCATGCAAATCTTGATTTTACTATTTTATGTAAGGGATACATTTGACTACACTGTTGTATTTAATGGGAATTGAATGTTGGTGTCCATGGGGATCCTGGAAGCAAAACTCAGCTGATATCAGCCATTGTGGAAGGTATTTTAGAAGGCTTTCATGGCCTTCGTTGTCATCATCATCATCATCATTGTGGAAAGACTGGGAGAGTTCAAGGCCAGACCAAGATCTTGGGCCAAAGGCAGGAGGGCCAAGCTGGTGCTCTTATACTAACAAGAGAGTAAATAATAGGCATGGTTAGGTTCGGTCGGAATCTTCGTAATTCAGAATAAATTTGGAAAGATTTGCTTTTTGAAGCGATTTTGAAGTTTTTAAGGAAACCAGAAGTCCCTTTGCCCTTCTTAAGCTTTTTCTGCCATTTCTGTTACAAAGCAGTAAGTGAGTCGGAAATGATTCGGCTTTTCCCCACTTCTGGTCCCTGGCCTCGGCTCAAGCCAGAGAAGCCGTTTTAAACCAGAGTGGATGGATTTCCTCTCTTTCCTCTCCTCTCACTTCTGTCTCAAGCCTGGGAAGCATTTTAAACCAGACTGGATGAATTTCCTCCCTTTGCTTCTCCCTCTCCTCCTCTCGCTTCTGGAGTAAAACAATTATTTATTTATTTACTACGCTTCTATACCGCCATTCTCAGCCCGAGGGCGACTCATGGCAATTTACAAAACGGCACAATTTGATGCCCACAACAGTACAAAAATAATGTAAACATTAAAAACATTTAACACAGGTAAAAATTCATTACAATTAACATCAGTAACACAATAAAAACCATAAGTCCTCCGCATTTCATTACCAGTCATTATTCAGTCACATTGTCCAACCGTTCCGAGATCAGAGTTTAATAGCTATACTGTGTTTGGAAAGGCTTGCTCATATAGCCAGGTTTTAACTTTTTTGCGAAACATTAAGAGGGTGGGGGCTGATCTAATGTCCCTGGGGAGGGCATTCCACAACCGAGGGGCCACCGCTGAGAAGGCCCTATCCCTTGTCCCCGCCAATCGAGCCTGTGAAGATGGCAGGGCCGAGAGCAGGGCCTCCCCAGAAGATGTTAAATTCCTAGAGGGTTCGTAAGGAGAGATACGTTTGGACAGGTAAGCAGGGCCAGAACCGTTTAGGGCTTTATAGGCTAAAGCCAGCACTTTGAATTGTGCTCGGTAGCAAATTGGCAGCCAGTGGAGCTGGCGCAACAGGGGAGTTGTATGCTCCCTGGGCGCCGCTCCTGTTAGCAACCTGACTGCCGCCCGTTGGACCATTTGGAGTTTCCGAACAGTCTTCAAAGGCAACCCCATGTAGAGAGCGTTGCAGTAGTCTATACGGGATGTAACCAGAGCATGGACCACCATGGCCAAGTCAGACTTCCCAAGGAACGGGCACAGCTGGCGCACAAGTTTTAGTTGTGCAAAAGCTCTCCTGGCCACCACCGAGACCTGGGGTTCCAGGCTCAGTGATGAGTCCAGGATTACTCCCAAACTGCGAACCTGAGTCTTCAGGGGGAGTGTAGCCCCATCCAACACAGGTTGTAACCCTATCCCCTGTTCGGTCTTTCGACTGACCAGGAGGACCTCCGTCTTATCTACTTTCAAAGTAAAGACCACCCAATGAAACAAGAAATAACATTTTCAAACAATTAAGGAAGGATTCGGAAGTCTCAGAAGTTTCCAAAAGTTTTGAACATTTTTTTTCTGTGAAAATCAGAAATGACTTTAGAATCGAACCATCATCCGAAACGAGTTTTGAACCATTTTTTTAAATCAAGCAAGCCTAGTAAATAGTACTTTTCCTGGATAGCTCTGTATCAGTCACATGCTTAATTTTTCTTTGTGCCATTTTGCAGTCCGACCGCCTCCGCTGGACCTGCGAAACCTGTCCACCATCCGAGAACATGCTGCCTTAACCAGGACGTGGACTGTGCCTTAGTAAGTAGATGGAGTATGTTTTATGAAGGCTTTTGGCAAAGCTGCCACAATTTGAATCCCGCAGAAAAGAAAATGCTTTTAGTTGCAAGTGGAGAGCCATCTCCCAATTCCCCAACTTCCTCCAAATGTTTGCCCATTTTGATAGACGGCCCCGTTCCCATCGGCATCATCTCCTGGATGAGATTGTATAACCTTATTTTGCAGCAAACGTCACCCTGGCGATATTGCTGGGCGTCGATGTCCTCCCCCTGGGAGGCTTGTGTCAGGACTTGGCTTGCTTTCAGAGCATCTGGGAAGGCTCTTTTCTGACAGCTCTTTTTCTTCTTTTCCCCCTGCTGTGTGCATTTGTGTCTTTCCCTTCCTCCTAGCAATCGGACGAGCTTTATCTCTCCAGAAAGAGACTGCATTTATTCGGCCAAAGTGTTTGCCAGTTCCATTTCCGGAGAAGAGGAAGAGAGCTACATTCAAATGGTAATCGTTTTTGATACAGCTCTTCCCTGCTCGCCTTTGACAACTCGCGCGGAAGGGGACTTTTTAAGAGAAAGGCATGGGTTGCTAAGTGGAAAAACACAAGACGTGATTGAGGCACAGATAAGGAGAGGGCCCTTTTCTCAGTTGTACAGATCTCCGTTGTGCGCACAAGTCTCGGTGGCACTTCCCCGAGGGATGGCCAATAGCCATGCCAACTCAATGGCTGCAAAGAGAGGCATCACCAATGCCTCCCTTCCATTTTGTTAAGGAACAAACAAAGCTCGAATGGAAACCGGGGCCGTCGCACAAGACTAGAGCAGGTGTTTTCTGTATTTCATCCCAAGCCTCTCAAGATATGGCTGGGAAAAGGTTGTCTTGTCTGTAAATGTGGAGAGATCCTACAAATCCATATAGACCAGGCATGCGCAAATTTGGGCCCTCCAGGGTTTTTAGACTTCAACTCCCACAATTCCTAACAGCCGGTAGGATAGACCACATCAGCTCTAATTTCTGATGCCATCCAGTCGTTGCCATCTGCTCACCCACAGAAAACCATACGGAAAAAGGTTGTCTTGTCTGTAAATGTGGAAAGATCCTGCAAATCCATATAGACCAGGCATGGGCAAATTTGGGCCCTCCAAGGTTTTTAGACTTCAACTCCCACAATTCCTAACAGCCTGTAGGATAGACCACATCAGCTCTAGTTTCTGATGCCATCCAGACGTCGCCATCTGCTCACCCACAGAAAACCATATGGAAAAAGTTGTCTTGTCTGTAAATGTGGAGAGATCCTGCAAATCCATATAGACCAGGCATGGGCAAATTTGAACCCTCCAGGGTTTTTAGACTTCAACTCCCACGATTCCTAACAGCCGGTAGGATAGACCACATCAGCTCTAGTTTCTGATGCCATCCAGTCGTCACCATCTGCTCACCCGCAGAAAACCATATGGAAAAAGGTTGTCTTGTCAGTAAATGTGGAAAGATCCTGCAAATCCATATGTGTGTGTATGTATATATCAGTATTATGTTTTACTATATTGTACTATACCATTATATTGTAATATTATTAGTAATATTACATGTAATATAAACATACAATTATAATATCATAAAATCCATATAGAGCAGGTATGGGCAAACTTGGGCCCTCCAGATGTTTTACACTTCAACTCTCACAATTCCTAATATCTGGTAGGATATTATTATTATTATTATTATTATTATTATTATCTTTATTTGTACCCCGCTAGCATCTCCCAACGGACTCGATGCGGCTTACAAAGGCCAAGGCCTCAAAACACAACATAACAATACAAAARCTGAAGCAAATTAAAAACAGTTAAAGCAATATTAAACAACAAGCAATAAACAATACATCAAGACACTATAAAACTGGGATAGACCACATCAGCTCTAGTTTCTGATACAGAACATATGCCATCCAGTCTTCGCCATCTGCTTASCCACAGAAAACCATATGGAAAAAGGTTGTCTTGTCTGTAAATGTGGAAAGATTCGGCAAATCCATGTGTGTGTGTGTGTGTGTGTGTATGTATATGTATATATATTTATTTACGACATTTATATGCCGCCCTTCTCACCCCAAAGGGGACTCAGAGCAGCTTACAAGATATATATATATATATACATACAATATATTATATTATTAGCATAGTACAATATCAGTATTATATATTACTATATTGTACTATACCATTATATTGTAAMATTATTAMWAACATAACATGTAATATAAAATATATAATTATAATATGGTATTATTATTACTAGTATTATACATGCTATGGAATAGTATTACATGCTATGGAATCCTTTGAATTGCAGCTTTGGAAGAGCTTCCGCCATCTCTCTGGTGTCTCACTAAACTAGAACTCCCAGGATTCCATAGTGTTGAGGCATGGAAGTGGTTTCAAAGGGCATTCATTCTACAGTGTTGATCAGTGGTTCCTAATCTTTTTTTGACCAGGGACCACTATCCAACATTAGTACCAAAAGGATTATGAATTGGTTTTTGATCAACTTTAGATTTGGTTTGGTTATTTGGGGTGCTGATTCAGAAAAATGCATTGGATAGACCACATCAGCTCTAGTTTCTGATACAGAACATAAGCCATCCAGTAGTCGCCATCTGCTCGCCCACAGAAAACCATAATTTCGAGGCAACGGTATAGTAGTGGTGAAGTCACGGACCATATTTTCGTTCTTGCGGACCATTGGTGGTCCAAGGACCACAGTTTGGGAACTGTTAGGAATTGTGGGAGTTGAAGTCTAAAACCCCTGGAGAGCCCAAGTTTGCCCATACCTGGTCTATATGGATTTGTAGGATCTTTGCTTAATATAGACCATGCCGGGTAAAACACAACCTGCAAGGATATATGTATGCCTTGAGGGTTAAACAAATGTGATTTTTCTCTTGAAAATGCCCATTTTTAGAGCTTCAAATGGGATGCAGAAGTCATTTCTACCATCTTTGGGAGCCCCCTAGGGGTCAAAAATATTTTTTTTCTTTTTCTTTTCCGTTTCTGGTATTGGAAGATATTCTTATCATTGTTGGTTAATTCATTTCTCATACCTTTGGTACCTGCCTGATGGTTTATGTCTTATTGCTACTTCCATCAACAGGAGCACCAACAAGCAACTTCGCCATACAACGGAGCGTTGTTCCAGTGGCCAAAGAAGTTTAATGTTGACTACTTAGCACTGGATTTTAATTCTGCTTCTCCATCACCTGTACAAAAGGTAGGTCTTGGTAAGGGACAGGAAACTGGAAACTTAAGATTCCAGTTTCTTTAAAGGAAAAGGGGAAGAGAGAGAAAGGAAAGACAGCTACATATGGGAAGGAGATGCAGAACTGACATAAACCCAGCTTGTCTTTCCTAAAGTAAAGGTAAAGGTTTCCACTTGACAATAAGTCTAGTCGAGTCCAATTCTGGGAGCTGATGCTCATCTCCATTTTTAAACTGAAGTGCTGGCATTGTCCATAGACGCCTCCTAGGTCATGTGGCCAGCATGACTACATGGAGCGCCATTACCTTCCCACAGAAGCGGTACCTATTGATCTACTCACATTTTCATGTTTTCAAACTGCTAAGTTGGCAGAAGCTGGAGCTGACAGTGGGAGCTCACCCCATCCCATGCATTTGAACTGCTGTTCTTCCGGTCAGCAAGTTCTGCAGCTTAGTGGTTTAACCCATTACATCACTGAGGCCCTTTCTTAAGCTTCTGCCATTACCTTCCTGCCAACACAGTACCTATTGATCTACTCACATTTGCATGTTTTCAAACTGCTAAGTTGGCAGAAGCTGGAGCTGATAGTGGGAGCTCACCCCATCCCGTGGATTCAAACCGCTGACCTTCTGGTCAGCAAGTTCTGCAGTTTAACCCGCTACAACACTGCGGCCTTTCTTAAGCTTCTGCTTATTTTTGTCATTAGAAATGAGAAAGGAGGGAAAAGAAAGAGAGGGAAGAAAGGATAGGAAGAGAGAAAGAGAGGAGGGAAAAGAAAGAGAGGAAGGAAGGGAAAGGAGGGGAAGGGAAGGGAAGAAAGGATAGGAAGAGAGAAAGAGAGGAGGGAAAAGAAAGAGAGGAAGGAAGGAAAGGGAAAGGAGGGAAAGGAAAGAGAGGAAGGGAAGAAAGGGAAGGGAGAAAGAGGAAGGAAGGAAACCAGCTAAAGTTGGGAAGGAGATGCAGTATGCATGTAAACCTAGTTTCCTTCTTCAGCTTTAATACATAGGAAAGGAAAAGAGGAAAGGGTGGGAAGGGAAGGAAAGGCGAGAGAGAAAAGGCAAGAGGAAGGAAACTAACTAGTTACAGTTGGGAAGGAGATGCAGAACTGATGTAAACCAAGCTTTTCCTTCTTAAAGTTATTTATATAGGAAAGGGAAAGGGTTGGGGAGAGGAGGGAAGGAAGGAAGGAAAAGCAAGAAAAAGAGAAAAAGGAAGGAAGGAAACTAGCTACAGATGTGTTTTCGAAGGTTTTCATGACTGGGTTGTTGTGTGTTTTCATGGCTGTATGCCCATGTTCCAGAAGCATTCTCTCCTGACGTTTCGCCTGCATCTATGTCAGGCATCCTCAGAGGTTGTGAGGTTTGTAGGAAACTAGGCAAGTGGAGTTTATATATCTGTGGAATGTCCAGGGTGGGAGAAAGAACTCTTGTCTGTTGGAGGCAAGAGTGAATGTTGCAATTGGCCAGCTTGGTTAGTATTGAATATAGCCTTGGTTAGTATTGAATACGGCTTACATGAGGCCACGCCTATTTATTTATTTTAGGCACTTCTACCCTGCCCTTCTCAACCCCCAATTCAACAGATAAAATACATAACAGCAATAACCACAATAGTTAAAAACATTCAATTAATACAATAACAACTAAAAAGCCAATCTAGTGGCCAACGTTCACCGAGTTCTAAAATCCGTAAGTCCATTCAGCATTACCATAGTCCTTTCCAAATTCTGGTCGTCATTACCTTGTCAGTCTGTCAGATTACCCAAAGGCCTGGTCCTATATCCATGTTTTCAGCTTCCTTCTGAAGGAGAGGAGGGATGGTGATGACCTAATTTCCCCGGGGAGTGAATTCCACAGGCGAGGGGCCACCACTGAGAAGGCCTTGTCCCTTGTCCCTACCAGGCACACTTGTGATAGAGGCAGGGCCGAGAGCAGGGCCTCCCCAGAAGATCTTAAACTCTGAGGTGGGACATAGAAGAAGATACGTTCGGACAGGTACGCTGGGCCGGAGCCGTATCAGTACAGTACATACATTATAATAAAACACATGGCAATACCAAAAATGAAATACATAAAATGCAAAGAAATAAAATAAATGACACAGACAATATAGAACAAGCAATTAAAAACAGAAATTTCACTGGGCAGGGCTGCTTCCTGCCTGTGGGAGTCCTTTGTTGGGAGGTGTTTCCAGACAGGAAACAATTGGGGCCAGCTAACACCTCCCAACAAAGGAATTCCCCCAGGCAGGAAGCAGCCAGGCTTTGAAGCTGCAAGGCCATTCAATGCCAGTTACAATATCCACACTTGCCTCAAGCAGACAAAAGTTCTTTCTCCCACCCACAGATTGAAGTGAAATGTCAGGAGGGAATGTTTCTGGAACATGACCATACAGCCCGGAAAACACACAACCTAGCTACAGATGGATAGAAATGGAACTGATGCAAGCTCAGTTTTTCCTTCGTAAGCTTGTGTTTATTTATTTTTGTCTATTTTCTTGCATTGCTCTCTCTTTGGCAGAAACCTTTCCTCTCGGAAGAACAGCGGGTGGATTATGTCCAGGTGGACGAACAACGAACTCAGGCTCTCCAGAGCACGAAGCAGGAATGGACGGACGAGCGGCAGTCCAAGGTCTGAAGGGGACAGGCACGCCTTGCTTGGTGAAGCATAATTTTGCACATGGAAATCCAGGTCGTTGGGACGGTCCAGTGCCGATGGCAAGAAAGCCGAAGCGTCCCCTTCTTTCGAGCACCGAAAACGGACCAGTTCATCGCTTTGCCACATTAATAACTTTCCAAGACGGACCCGTGGTACCTTTAAAACTTGAAACTGGGTGCCTTGGAACACTGAATGGGAACCAAATCCTCGTTGTGTCACACTGTAATGACTCTTTTATTGTGTCCTCCTCCCCCAAAAGAATATAGGGTAAAGCTATAGCTATTTAACAGATGCTGCCTTGACCGGAGCATCTGGTACTGACAGGAAGTGGGGGGAAAAGGGCTAAACCTTTGGAGTAATGTGAATTAAAGTGTCGCCGAAGGGTGGGATAGCCCTTGATCTGAAGCGTGTCGGCTTCAATGCCATATTGGACCATGTAAATAGGACTTCGCACTGTGTCCCGTTTCGAAATCCCTCGTCTCCATCCTTTGCTTCTTCATAGCTACTGTCACAATAAATGGGAGTCATCTTCGCTGGCCCATTTGTCTTTGAACTTCCAAATTTTTGCCTTCGAAAAGAAACAAGGGAAGCCGGGAAATCACCCATGAGTCTCAGCGAAGTTGGCATCGCCCGCTCTGCGAGGAAGGAAGCACCGCCGTCATTCGCAAGGATGGCCTCCCAGTTTCTGAATCCCAGTGAACAAGCTTCCAATGGATCCCAATCCTTGGAAATCCCACTGCCAAGCCATATGTGTGGCTAAAGCTATGAAATGACTGGAATAAAGCTGACCCAACCCTCTTCGCACTAAGATCTTTTCCTTCGTATTTAGCCTCTTTCAATAAAAGAAGTGAAGACGTGATCTCTTCTGGTTCTTTTGGGGGTCAGCCATGTTATTATATGTGTCACATTTTATTAGGTTAGGTTTGGGGTGAAGAAACACTGCTCCTCCCATGTTTCCAGCTGTACGTTTCTTTTAGAATCATAGAGTTGGAAGAGACCTCATGGGCCATTCAGTCCAACCCCATTCTGCCAAGAAGCAGGAAAACTGCATTCTGAGCACCCCCGACAGATGGCCATCCAGCCTCTGTTTAAAAGCTTCCAAAGAATGAGCCTCCACCACATTCTGATGAAATTGTCCACATGCTTATGGATTTCAGTGACTTCTCTGAATGCTAGTTGTTAGAGTTGTTAGAGTGACCCAGAGTGGCAGTTGTTAGAGTGATCTAACAATTCTCAAATAATATGCTGTGTCCAAGTTGGTTCATCCAGTTATTATTATTTGAAACACAACAAGATGAGTCCATAGCAGACACTCTGCTGGCTGTTGTATTGGATCACACATCAGACACTTCCCAAGTGTCTAGGACTGTGTGATGTATCGGCGAATAATGCGTGCATATCCCAGTAAGGTGGGCTTTTGCAGCTGGCAATTTTGTCATTGCCGATTGTGTTTAAGTGCAGGCCAAGGTTGTTAGGCACTGCACCCAGTGTACCGATCAGAGACAGCCCTAGGTAATTTTCAACGGTAAGTAAACAGTATTTTGACGCCCCCACCAATCACTGATATATATTTTCTGTTCGTCGTGGGGGTTCTGTGTGCCATATTTGGTGGAGTTCAGAATGCTCTTTGATTGTAGGTGAACTATACATCCCAGTAACTACAACTCGCATATGTCAAGGTCTATTTTCCCCCAAGAGCACCCCTGGGCAAAATCAACTATACTGCGAATGCTTACTTTGCGTAATGGTTGAGCTGCCCCTGATGCCGATCACCACTGGGATCATCTTGACTGGCTTGTGCCAGAGTCGTCGTCGTCTCCTCCTCCTCCTCCTCGTTGTCATTATTATTATTATTATTATTGTTGTTGTTGTTGTTTATTGCTACTACTATTACTGGCCTTCTCTGCCAAAAAGTGCTGCAAATCCTAGGATTCAATATCATTGAGCCAGGGCAATGAAAGTACCATGAAGTTACCTTAATACTAGGAGCCCCCGGTGGCGCAGTGGGTTAAACCCCTGTGCCGGCAAGACTGAAGACCGACAGGTCGCAGGTTCGAATCCAGGGAGAGGCGGATAAGCTCCCTCTATCAGCTCCAGCTCCTCATGCGGTGACATGAGAGAAGCCTCCCACAAGGATGATAAAACATCAAATCATCCGGGTGTCCCCTGGGCAACGTCCTTGCAGACAGCCAATTCTCTCACACCAGAAGCGACTTGCAGTTTCTCAGGTCGCTCCTGACACGACAAAAAACAAAAAAAACCCACCCCTTAATACTGCAGTGTAGATGCACCCTTGGATCTTTTGGGGTCTTTATACCAAACTTGTTGACAAGTTGAAATAGAACCAATGAGGCTTTCTTTCAATGTTTTATAGCCACTATATCCAGTCTTCCTGCCATACAGTTGGGCAGATGTTCTGCCAAACAAAAAGATAAAGAGGTGTGACTCCATTGCACAATTATATCAGTTTCAGGCTAGTTTAAATTTGACCTGTTTTTTTTTTCCTACAGTGTTTTGCAGTTTGGTGAATCCTCCCTGAGTTGTCACCCATTCTAACGAAGTACAGTTCGCCAAACTACAAATCCCAACTCTAGGGGGAAAAAATGAACATGGCAGCAAACCACTCTAAAGGAGTAACATGAACCTTGAAGGAAAGAAGCAGGAAAAATTGGGAAGCATGTATACAAACATTATACAGTGGTTAAGGGGGGATTATTAAGTGGAGGACACTCAAACAAAAAAAGGCCGCAGCAGTTTGCTTTTGCCTGGATCTTTTGGGAAGCTCAAGAGTCCACCTCTTCATCTACCTTCTTCCTGATTAAATAGAGTATAAACTACATTCTTTTACACTTTGAATTCAGTTTGCATCAATTGTATTCTGAGAACAAAGAGGAAAAGTGGAAGGAGAGGGAAGAAACTGGGACATTTGAAAAGCAGTTGCAAAAATTGAATGGCAGGGGACTAAATGGGATTGTTCTTTTCAAGTAGGGACAACGGAGAGCATGCAAAGACCCAAGAAAGCTGAGCCATCCCCAAATCCTTTGTGGCATGCTCCAGTTATTCAAGGGAAGGGATTAAATTTTATTTGCTTTCCTCTTAGAATAGAGGGTGAGTCCTGGCACCATGGCTAGGAGGGAAGGAGCAAACTAAGTAAGCAAAACTGCATTAAAAATCAATTTTGTCTGGGAAATGGTAGCATTTTCCTCTTGCCTGAAACTGAGCCTACAAAACAGGGAATTTGCACCTCACCTCTTGCCTGGAAATTATCCACAAAGCGTGGTTGTTGTGAGTTTTCCGGGCAGTTCCAGAAGCATTCTCTCCTGACACTTCGACTGCTTCTATGGCAGACATCCTCAGAGGTTGTGAGGCCTGTTGGAAACTAGCAAGTGGGGTTTATATATCTGTGGAATGTCCAGGGTGGGAGAAATAACTATTTTCTGTTTGAGGTAGGTGTGAATGTTCCAATTGGCCACCTTGATTAGCATTTAATGGCCTAGCAGTTTAAAGGTCTAGCTTCTTACTGTCTGGGGGAATCCTTTATTGGGAGGTGACTAGCTGGCCCTGATCCACAAAACCTGGGGACTCGGGACTAGGCCCTTAGGTCTCCTAAATTCCAGAAAGGAAATGCAAGAAGTTCTTGGCCAACTGGTGCCAAAGAGGGTCCTACATGAATGGCACAAAATGTACCTGTTGCTTTGCCAACGTCTGGTTGAAAAGAAACCCCTGTCGACCTCTCTTGATGTCCTTTTACCGACTGCTAAGTACTTTCGCCTCTTATCTCTCCCTAGAGCGAAAGTCCACTGACCTCCATCATGCAAAACACAACTTCGGGAATGCTGGAGTTCGACTTTGCCCTGTTTACTGGATGTCCAGTTCTGTTTGCCTGGGGTTTTGTTAGCTTCTCCTGGTCTTGGCAAACAACCATAAGGGGCCCTTATGTCACACTATGTTGTTTTGTTGGAGTTTCTCGTTTCTTATTTCCTCCCTTGAAATCTCACCAGTACCTCCATTTATGTGATTGCGTCTATTTATCCTCACTCCCTACAGCAATTCAGATGGAGTTTCTTTCTCTGAAGATTCTTCAACAGAGGCTGGATAGTCATCTACCAGGAGGGCTTGGATTGTGTGATTGGAATGGGGTCGGACTGGCAGCTGTTTTTTGCTTGTGTGTCCTTCACTGTTAATAAATTGTGCCCCTTAACCATAGAATAATAATAATAATAATAATAATAATAATAATAATAATAATAATAATCTTTACTTATACCCCAACACCATCTCCCCAAGGGAGACTCGGGGCGGCTAACATGAGGCCAAGCCCAAAATTTCAACAGATAGCATACAAATACAGCAAAATAAAATACAAAGAAGCAAAATACCATCAAAATAAATGCATACATAACATAATGAAATAAAATACAGTTCCAGAATGGCATGAAAGAAACAATGGCATCAAACTACAGGAAAGGAAATTCCACCTGAACTTTAGGAAGAACTTCCTGACTGTGAGAGCTGTTCAGCAGTGGAACTCTCTGCCCTGTGGAACTCTCTGCAGTGGAACTCTCTGACTGTTATTTTCCTGCTTCTTGACAGAATGGGGTTGGACTGGATGGCCCACGAGGTTTCTTCCAACTCTATGACTCTATGGGTCTACTGGGAAGGACAAAAGTCGGCCCTCAGTTTGCAGCCATTGAAGTAAGCTAAGGACAACAGGTGAAAAGTAAGGGCAAAAATGAGACATTTTCAAAGTAGCTGAAAAAGTGGGATGACCAAAGAGTAATCATGACTGTTTATGCCAAACTGAAAATTGTAGTTTGATGAAACACCAGAACTCCTTCGTAGAAAAGGCTCAAGACTATTAATTCTACAGTGTAGATATGAGGGTTGAATGAAAAGTAATGCCTCCACCTTTGTAACTCCTCAACAGATGGCAGTACTGGTATGGCTTGTTCAGTAGACTCTCCTCTACAGTTCCATTTTGATGGGAAGCCTTAGCATTGAATGGTTGTGTTGTTAAAGGGCGAAGTATGGAACCCTGCGCAGATGGTCAGTCAATGTGATTTAAGCAACGTGCAATCATTTAATTCTTGACAGCAGAAGGTGTCATCTCAACATCTTTAAACTTACTCGCCCAACGACGCACAGTACTCGCATCAACACAATCACCATAAACAGCTTGCATTCTCTGATGAATCTCCTTTGGGGTGATACCTACTGCTGTCAAGAATTCAATGATTGCACGTTTCTTAAATCGCATTGACCGACCATCTGCGCAGGGTTCCATACTTTGCATTTTAACAACACAATTGTTCAATGCTAAGGCTTCCCACCAAAATGGAACTGTAGAGGAGAGTCTACTGAACAAGCCAGTACCTGGCATACCAGTACTGCCATCTGTTGAGGAGTTACGAAGGTGGAGGCATTACTTTTCATTCAACCCTCATACATCCAAAGGAAAACTTATATGGGGCACTATGGTCCTTCAGCTAGCCATCTATGCAATTCTCTTTATCTTATTACACAACTGTTTCAGAATT